GGCTGGGCAGGAAGTTGTTCACTGCAGGCGGGGGCACGCACACCCCTGCCCAGAGAAGCCAGGCGTCCGGGCTCCCAGGCCCCCAACACAGACCAGACCTGGGACCCATTAGGAAGCCTTTAATGAGGTGCAAAGACAGTGGTATGAGGACGGCTTCCCACACTGCAATGGGGCAACTAGACCCCCCCACCTGGGAAGGCACAGCCAGAGCCCCACCACCACTGTGGGGAAGCCTGGCACCCCAATCCCCCGGCGGGGCAGGCTGTGCTGGCTGGGGGCTGGCACTGGTCACGCCCCAGTCTTGCCCTGCAGGGGTAAAACCCCTCGTCCGTCCATCCATCTGTCCATCCATTTGCGGCCATGTGCACAGGGAACAGCCACTCTCTCCTGTCCCTTCTGCGCAGGGGGGGGCAGCTTCCATCCTGGCTGCGTGGCTATGGTCGTGTCCCGCCCTCGCATGGCTCTGGCGGCTCTGTGGTCCCTGTTCCCCGGGCGCAGCTCCAGGGTCTGAGGGGCTCAAATGAGGACGCTGGAGACAGGGAGCTGGGCCGCGCGCCCCCCCCGCGGCACTACAATGCGCTCGGACGCTGCTCCGGGGCTCCCCCCAGCCTCTGCCAGCAGCCCTGCAGTGGGGAGAGAGGCAGAGAAAGGCTAATAGCGGGTGGGGGCAGAGAGGAGCCAGATGTCTGGGCTCTTTGTCCCACACCCAGCCTAGGGTGCAAACAAGTGAGCAAGTAAGAGCCCCAGGGCAGGTGGAAGCAGAGACACTAGAGGCCCAGACACCTGGGCTCTTCCCCTGGGGGCCTGGGAGCAAATGGGTCGGGCTGGGAGCCTGGACGCCTGCGTTCCCTCCGGTAGGTGCAAGCCAGGGGAGTGGGAAGCCCGACACCCGCGTCCCCGGACCATCCCAGCAGCTCCGAGCAGGGTTGGGGGTGGTCTCGGGGTGCTACACTGGGGCTGTGCTGAGCCTGCGGAGGGCTGTGAGGGTCCACAGGGCCGTGCTGGGGCTCAGAGGGTCGTGGGGGCCACGTTGGTCTGGGAGTCATGCTGGCATCTATGAGAGGCTCAGAGACTGTGCTAGGTCTTAGGGGCCTGTGTTGGCCCAAGGGCCGTGCTTGAGTCTGGAAAGATCTGACAGCTGTGCTGTGCTGGGGTCTGTTGGTCACGGGGGCCGTACTGGGCCTGGGGACAGTGGGGCAGACTCACCCTGTGCCTGCAGGTGGGCACGGCGCCGGTCAGCGGGCAGCACCAGGGCAGTGGCGAGGAAGAAGCCGCCTCCAAGGGCTCCCACGAAGGCACAGAGCGTCAGCGCATAGCCCAGGCTGCGGAAGGCCCACAGTGGGGTGGGGGGCCGGTGCCGACGCACCGCGTCACTCATCTGTGGGGGGCACATGGCTGGGACCAGGCGTCTGGGCACCCACAGGGAACAGCAGCATCCTGGTTCCCAGCCCCCACGCCCTGGCCATGGATCCCAGGTGTCCCGGCCCCCCACGCCCAGCCCCTAGCCCTCACTCCCCTCCCAGGAAACCCAGGCATCCAGGCTCCCTGCCTGGCCC